GGTGAGATACGTCTTTTTCGAGAGGACGGGCATTCTATTGCATATGTTTACAATGAACTTGTTGTGTGGTGGTGATCCCGCACACTTTGAGGTTTTTTAGCGGGTATATCCCTAGGGGGGGATGAAGACGGCTTCCCGCCAGCTCCGCAGTGGTCAGATCTGCAAAGACTTCACCGTCTGGCTGGGACAGGTCGCCGCCAAGTTTTGTCCCCAAGACACGATAGCTCAGGTGGGTATCCACCTAGCCGGCATAATAAAAACAGTCAAGCCTCCATTGTGAAGGAGACCTGTTGGAGGTCAGGTACAGCTTCATTAGGGTTGGCGCTATCCTCAACTCTATAGCGGAGTCTGTGGACAATTCACCGGCAGAAGCATTTACCTTCCGGTTACAGCCGTGGTTGTCCTGATCGCAGCCCTGAATGGAGATGACATCGAACATCACAGTTCACTGCTGCGCTCAGTGCTGTCAGCTCGGGTTACCAGTAACAGCGGCCGAGTTGGAGAAGCTGCGCTCATAGATCATCGTCGTTGCTGGGAGTGGCTGTTGGAATGGGCGTGGTCTTCGAACTAGTTGACTAAGCATAGCTCCTCCCCCGAAGCGGTTCCCACTTAACTCGGGCATTTTCTGCGATTCTTTTATGTTCTCGTGTTGCAAGTCGTTACGAGATGGTCTCACTGTTTCCGACTCGGAGATAATAGGCTCTCGTGGAGGGGCTGCGTGTGAGGTTGCCGATCGTCCACCCACTTCCATGCGTCTTCCCTCACAGTTGTTACTTCCATAGTCGATGCAGACGGCAGGCGAGGATCTCTTGAAGCCCCCATCTGAGGGCTTCTGGACTTCTCTGAAGGACCGTTCCATCTTCTCCCCACATGCGGCGGCTGTTCGATTATGGCATGTGGCAGAGGGTATCGAGAAATCGGGAATCAGCAAGGTCCCTGATGCTGTGAAGGCTAGGGCATACAGGTAAGCATGTCTCATCCCTTAGTCCATGTTTTGTGAATATATGCGTATCTGTGAAATAAATATACATACGTATATAACCACGCGATTTTACGATGTAGAATTTTTGTGATCAACCTGATTTCCAGATTCCGAAATTTTCATACGCAGCAGTTGAAGCTAATATTCCGCAGGTCTCTGGTGAGCCTCCTTCGTCATTACTCCCGAGATGGGCATGGATACCTCAAAGCCGTGAAGCAATACAACCAGCTGGCTCCAAGTGTGGGAGGACAAGCTCTTAAGGCTGATGAGGGTTGGGCTCGACACGTCATACAGTCCAACGACGAGATCATGGTGATATAATTGTAGTCGTGGCGGTTGCATAAAATTTGCTACTCAGGGGCAACTGGAACAGGAGCTGCGGCACAGCACGGTAGGGCAAGTCAAAGAGAGCTGCCGCCTGGCGATGGAAAGGATAATTCGGCAAGCGGCGAATGCCCATGATTTCCCTCTGGCATTGCAATGGTCAGCGGGACGCTGTATTGAGCGAACCTCAACAGCTGTGTAGGTATACATGTGGGCAGGGAAGTGGCAGGCAGGGACTCCAGGGAGTCTCCTATAGGGACCGGTGAGCTTCTCTCGGAGGTTGGCGAGAGCGCCTAATGTGGTGTGCAGATGCTCGACCCCGAGCCAGTACGCCGAGATGTACATCAACATGTGCGAACTAGCTGTGCTTGTCGGGAAAGCTAGTGATGTACATCTCTTTGCGGCTAAGGTGTCGCAGATACTATCAGGTCAGTCACTTTGGGTAGGGACAGTTTTGGTCATCATAACGTCGGCACCATTGGAAGTACTCGCCGACCATAGCTGCTTAATAACACAGTGCGTGTTAGTACATAGTCGTGCCGTATAGAAAGGCACACATCGATATCAGTTCCGGTGAAATGTGCCTACAGACCTGACATCATGCTGACAGTTCGGGTTTTATAGCATTTCCCATATGCACATGTGAGAAGTGTATTTTCCGAGATAAATGAGAACCGATCTCAGCATCTGCATAAGCAATGTAAACCTTGTTGAGAACTTGTGCTGGAGGACCGAAGCCACATCTGATCTTCCCTGAGCTCACACTTGTGCCAGGATAGCGTAGTACGTGTTTAGATACGCCAACAGTACCGAATGCCGCCTCGATAAAAGCTGCTGTGAGCTGCCTCCAAGGCTTCTGCAGTGCCTCTAATGGGGCCTACTCGACCGCAGCTACTACCCTCACTAAGGTTAACATGCAGGTGACTAGTGACCGGATCACGATGATGTCGTTTGTTAGACATACTCCTTCAGGACGTCCCTCCTGCGGCCTCGAGCGTCCTCTCTGGGACTTTGGGTGGACTGTTCAGTATTGGTAGGTGTCACACATGTCCGTCGTGATTGGCTGATTTATGCGGTCTAGGTACTGCATGCGGTACTGCCGTGCTGTGTCGGATCGCCAGTGCAAACAGTCGAGCACAGTTGAAGGAAGGGATAGCATGTGACGCCGATGCAGCGGTCCAAATGAGCAACAGCACTTCGGGGCTTCTCAGAGGTGACTACACTGAGCATGCGAAGGGGCATCTGTCTGGCTTGGTCTCAGTTCTCTGTGAGTACCCTCGCCTGCAGGAACTAGTAGACAGCGTAGTCGACTGTCGCTACGCTGAATGCCTCACCTTGATCGACGAGCTGGTCAACGACTTGGCGTATGACCCGCTTATCGGGCACCGGGCTCATGTAACCTCTCACTTCGCTGCACCCCTCTGTGAGTACATCTCAGGCGATTGGACGGTGTGCTCGTATGAGGTGCCTCATCACTCACTGCAACGCCTTCAGAGAAGTCCCTCTGCTACGTATAGCGCATGATCTTGGGTATTCCAGTGTTGAGGTATAGTAGAACTTAGCTGTCCTGCCCTGATCAGTCTCAATGGCTAGGCTCTGGAACCGGACCTCGAGGCTGCGATACAAGGCAGAATACTTCTACCCGGCGGAGGGGAGGAGAAGCTCTTCGCACGCGTTGAGGGACGCATAGATCTTCAAGCTGGTGTAGGCATATTGTTGTTGATGGGCTTCACTTAGCTGTGGACCCTCCTAGGTCCTGCGGGCGGTCGAAGTAGACTCCCGAGAGAGGATGCAGGAAATGGTGGAGGTGGTCTGTGGCCCCACAGGTTTTGCAGCTAACATACAGAAAGTCGTTTTAGAGTGAGGTTAAGAACACCACTTTGGAGTCTTGTAGTATGTACTCAGGTTCAACTTACGACAAGCAGCTGCTAAACGATGCACCTCTGACAAGCCCATAGAGGATGATCGCACAAGAGCCCTCCGACTGAGGCTAGGAGTGGTGATGGAGAGCCGACTGATGTGACGATGAGTGAGGACGCTGACACGCCTCTAGTGACACAAGCTACTGAGTGAAATTTTCTACCAATTGAGACGCTGAGTTGTATCACAGTACTTGGGTCACATTCATGGCTGATATGGTCGGTCATGATGACCATCTCTGCTCGCCTAATAGCACCGCCACATTTTCATCGCAACGCGTTAAGTCCCGAACGAGCAGCTTGCAGATTCCCATCGGCCTAAGAGTGGCTGTCACTCTCTGGAGGTGTTGTGGCTCCTTGCATTGCCTCTCTGAGTGATACGAAACGTGTGCCGGCTTTCACGGGTTTCCTGTGATACACTGAAGTTTTTGTGTTCGCTCGTCGCAACGTGGTACCCCCTTGCATGCAGTCAGCTGATACCCCCTATCATTCAAACCCCGCTCATCACACAGTAGCTTTCCGACAATGGAAGCTGACACCTCCAGAGAAGACGACCAGGTGAACGGACGAAGTGGAATTTGTATCTTAGTTATTCTCTCTGATGCGGCAGATTCTCAGTTTGCGAATTGAATTACAGAAGGTCAAACGACAACGCGATGAAGGGTGGGGAATATCTTTCATGTCGTTCATCATGCTTTACTCTACTCTCAGTCTCTCTCAATTGTCGAAGAGGCTCGACGACTGTCAGAGGCTCCTGGTTCTACAGGGCGTGGACGCTGACCGAGAGCTCCAGCGGGCGGAAACCGCCAGTATGCGTCTGGAGGACTTCATGGCAAGCTGCAGTCGAGCTTGGAAGCCTCAAAGCGACTCAGCAGCGGCAGCGGGGGCTCCATCGCCAGTCGCATTACCAAGCATTAGTGTGCCGGTTGTGACCCCGGTATTTTCGCCTAGTATTTTCTCGGCATTTGGCGTTGATGGTGGGGAGTCATTTCGATGGGAAGAAGGTGAGTAATGTGATTCACACGGACTTGAAGACACTTGTGTGATTTCAGGTATCACCAAGGGTGACGCGACTTCAGAGGACTTACAGGCTGAAGTGAGTCGCCCATCCGATTGGTGGGGCTACAGAGCTTGCAGGTTCAGAATCTGCGTCTTGTCGTTAAGCGTATGACCGATGATGCAGAGGACTTCAGCGGGACGGTCGGCACTCTACGGAGCTCCTTGAATGAAGAGCGGAAGATGGCTCAGCGGTATAGGGAATCTTATGAGCGTTTGAGTGTCAAATTGAACGCTCTCGAAGCCGACATTAGAGAAGAAGTCCTAGGAAGAGGAAATGTGAAGGTAAGGCTCGCCGTCCCGTAGGGGTTAATGCGTTCGATCAGCCGCTACTGCGTTATCTCGAGGAGGACGGCTCAGCACAAGGTTGCTTAGCGCTGATTCGAGAAGGCTGCTCCGAGGCACTGTCTACGACTACTAGTGTCCTGCGGCCCGACGACTTTCCCGTTGATGCCGTTAAGTCGTGCACTGGGCCTGATTCGGTTCATGTGGATCAGACGTGAGCCTTCCCGTGGAGTGATGTCGTTCCAATGCATAATATTAGATCAGTGAGAAATGACGATGGAGTGGTTGGCATCCGAGTACCGCTGCGGAGCAAGCAGACCAGTAGTGGGCCCAACGGTCGAAGGGCGGTACTCGCCGAACTTAACGAAACTCGAGAGGTGAACGGTGCGAATGCCGCGAAGGTGAACTTTATGGTAGAGAATTGGCAAGTATAGTTTTCATCAGAAACCCTTGGTCCGACAACCCAGTACCCACAACGCCAGGGCTGTTCGCAACTTCAATGTCAAGGATGACTATGTATCCAATACGACATAACGACATGCTTAACCTTCCTTTACATCGAATACTGTTCTTGAGTGAGCGAGTGGTCACACGATATGACACTATGTCGACAATATTGTCACTAAAATGGCGTTGGATATATTCTATGATATCGGACGGTCTCTCTTGGGATAAAATTTCTCCATAGAGCACAGATACTCCCGGATGAGAACTAGTAACACAAGAGTGGAGTGCCGCAACGCGTGTGACAACTGCAATTACTGCATGTGATGATACTCATTCCTTCTGTTCTGTCTCACACACATTCATCTCGATGTCCCTCTCCTCTGTGGTAGAGGACAATACCTCCTCCTCTCGTGCTGGAGCTTGCCGATATCTGAACACTGTGAATAGCACGTCGTGTAGGTTGGAGTTTTTACTGTGTGCCTGCCGCTATACAACCGAGCAAAGCCACTGAACCAACCATGTTCGAATGATGGTCCCATATGACGTGATTCAATAGAACCGTGGCTACTTTACATAGAACACCAACCTGACACCGTGGATACGATTCTTCCGAAGTCATGCGGGGAACTCACCACAGTGAAAGTAGTTGCCGTGACCAGCTCTCTGAGGTGGAAGCCGTAGAATGAAATACCGATTCCTATGACACACGAGGCTAGCAAAGAGGGGAGGGCCTGGAACACTCGATGGAGGAACTGTTTCAGCGAACGACAACCTCGAGCGTCCAGGTGTAGTCGTTAATCAACGTCCAGAATTCCCCGTTGATTGCTGCAGCTACGATAAGCACGGGTATACTGAGAACGTTGTTGTAATAAACTCTGGTCCACGTTGACATGGGAACTGAGGCAAACCCTAGCGATAGCTATTCGATTTGAGAGCTTGGTCTTGCCCGTGTTGATGATGTGCTTAACAAAGGCCATTTCAGTGACAATCGCCATGAAATAGAGCGAGACCCAGAAGTAGCCTTGTGCCTGATTCGAAGTATTAAACCTAGAGCTAACTCTTGCCCACCTGCATTCCGTCGTCCCTGACCATATATAGGAAGGCCCCTAGGACTATTCCGAAGAGAGCCAGCCAAGACTGAAACAGTAGGTTGCTAACCGCCACAATGAGAGCCATTGCGCACGGTACTCCAATCCCTACGGCCGAGCCTCTTACCTTCCCGCTTGGTAATTCCCTTCCGAGATAATAGTAGTCGAAGAATGAGACTGCCAGGGGGGAGCACGATCTGACATAAACCCGAATCGTCTTGGAGGAATATGCACTAACTTGCCTAAAAACAATAACGGTCTCAACATTAACATGCTGCAAGGCTTTCACGTTCGTGAAAAGGCACAGGCAGAAGATAGCAACGACACCTGAGGACGGCTTCAACCATGGAGTTGACAAGCGGCCTCACCACTGAAGCGCCGAGCCAGCGAGTACTCCAGTGGCGCCAACTCAATGTCGGTCTTGGAGTAGCTTGCGAAAGTCTTGACGAATACTAAGAAAAAGCTGAGCCCCTTGTGATTCCATCGCTTACATGCTGTAGTGAGGAATTGGCAAATGAGGACGAAGCATGGTGAGGGTATCGAATGCACAGCCAACTTGTTGACTATCTGAGAGACGGTTCACTGTAGAGGCCGTCGTCGCGTTAGGTCGGCCCACTAGGAGTGTGCTGCTGCAGGCCGCGTACATGGCAATAGCCCATCCCACACGAGAGCTGTACTTGGCGTCCTGTACTCGGTAGCAGTGATGGGCGATGTGATGCTACTGTATTCACCTCTCGGTTGGTTGGTATAACTCCTGCGCCCTCTGGCTTTCCGATGACTTTTTCAGTCATTTACTCTACTGTTTCAATTGGGAGTCTGTACCCATTTTTTGATTTTTGCTATTCGGCTCTGTTATCATACTATCATTGATTGAAATTGATAATGTGAACCCAAGCAATTCTGACTCCCGAGAAAGGCACGAGACCATGCACTACACTTGATAATGACAGAATAATGTTCGTGTTATGCAGTGTGGGAAAATATGCACATGCTCAACCACGTATGTTGGTCACAATATGGAAAATCTGAGGAAATTTTGGGAAATTCTTGTAAACTTGTATTATTGGTGAGGAAACTGGCAAGCTCAGTTGAGGAAAGTTAATATATATTCCAACACTAATGTTCTGTAACTGGACTCATGGAGTTGAGACATCAGCGGGCGCGGCAGCCGCTACATCAGACCCTTCCGTCTCGGCCGTGACCAGCACCTCCGGAATTACCCCGATTGACCGAGCACGCGCTGATCTTCATCATCCCATTTTGGACTTAAGGCGATATGGGTTGAAGGGGGACTCCTACCAATTCCAAGAAAAAATGGGGTGTACATTAGCTCAGGTTCTGGCCAAAAAGGAGGTTGTCATATTCAACGTATTCAGCCTCGCGGTACGTCGAAACCTCCCGTTCCTCCGCCACATCGCACTTATTGCTTCGACAATGGAAGTGGATCGGCATACTGTGGTCTGCCGATAACGCCATCGGGGTTGTGAGAGCTGCCTTACTCATCGCTTGGCCCTGTGCTCAAGTTTTATGCTCAGCTTTCCCTCGGGAGCTGAACTACACACACTTGAACGGAAGTTAATTTGCACTGAGACCTCGCTGCCCACAGGCCAGAGGCCAAGGAGCAGACGATGTAACGCGTGTAAAAACGGCCGATTATCGCATGCTGTCGCACATTGACACTCGACCTAATTTTCAAGCTCCCATCCGACCATACCGGTTAAGTGTCCACTGAACTCTTGGGAATCCCACCAACGAGCCTCTCCATCTTTCCCCCGGCCTTTTAGCTTCTTGTTTACCAAGGTCACTCACTACCATGGCCGAAACGTCTGAGGAGCTTATCCGGAACGCCGAGTGTGACACGGAGAAGGTAGTAGTGGGCAGGCTGGGCCTTGGGGATAGTCCTGATGTCCTTCCAGCTTAACGCGGCTCTAAAGGCGATCAGCTATGGGGTCCCTCAAGGCCTTTCGCGAGTACCGTGGATCGAGACGCTGGCCCTTACCAGTACGCAGGAGCCCATCTCGGAGAAGGGCCTGAAGCCGGACGATAGAGTTGAGATTGAGAAGGCTATGTAATGTCACTCGAAGCTGCTCAGCACAGGGTGGTAAGTGTAGGTACAGTCAAGTTCAAGAGAGCGTGGTAGAGGCTTTCCGGAGGTTCGCTGCTATGGGCATCGAGGCAAACCGCCCTGACGACTTCTATGCTGAGATGCTCAAAACTGATCAACAGATGGGCAAGGTACGGACGGAAAGGCTGAATCGAAACAGCCGTACTCCTATTGGTGTAGATCCGAGAGAACCTCGCTGATCAACAGAAGCGCATTGAAATCGTGGAGGACAGGAAGCGGAAACAGGCCGAGAAAAAGTAGGGGGCAGCCGGGGTCCAGTCGTCTTGAGCTTTCCTGACTGTTCCAAGATGACCAACCGGTTATTCTGACAGCGGAGCGGTGCTTCGTTACGTCCATTCTTGTCATTAGTGGGCTTATGATTGCATCCAGGTTTGGGAAGAAGATGCAGGTGGCAGCAGCTCAGGCCCGAGCTGCTCAGAAACGTGAGAATTTGGCAGAGATCGAGAAGTGGAAAGAGGCCAAGGGGGAAGGTACTAATAGTTTATCAAAAGCCATACCGCACCTTTGGAAGAAATTGCAATACAACCGCCGATCAATTGCATCGTCGTATCAGATGAGTCCGCCAGTGTTGGAAAGACTTTGGAAAAGGTCTCCAAGAAGGGCGCTCAGCGGTCGGCTGAGATGGAAGGTGCTAGTCACGGCAAGGGAGGGAAGGGTGGCAAGGGAGGGAAGGGTGGCAAGGGTGGCAAGGGTGGCAAGGGAAGAGTGAATAAGAAACGCGTTGCTAAGGACAAGAAGTAATAAAAGGCCCTTGGTCGTTGTCGTGATGGTCGTTGATAGATACGGCCAGGGTGGGCCTAAACGAGTGTTGAAGAACAACTCAGCCGACAGTTGCCGTGACGTCTCTTCTTTTAAGGCCTCTAAGCATTCCCCCATGGGTAAGGGGAAAGGGAAGGGGAAAGGAAAGGGTGTTAGGAAGCCTATCAAGAAGGGCGCTGCTGCTGCTGCTGCTGGAAAACGCTGAGAAGCAGCGTAAAACGTACACTGTTTCTACCTACGTATGTTGGGCATACATATTGGGTTGAGTTTGCAAGGGGAAGAGTGGGAGGGCCGATAGATTTGAATTATCTGTAATATGGTAAAAACTCGGGAAACTTCGAGGAAGAAGGGGAGCAAGGCGTTGGAGGCGTGCTTGGCGTCATCGTCATCATCATCATCGTCGTCATGTTCGACTGCCGCTCCCTCGGATCCCTCACCGCCGCAAAAGGCCGAGGTCGTCACTTTACGGTTGACCCCGCGCACCCACATGATAGAACAACTCTTACGGCTGGCAGATATCAACTTTAAACTGCAGTTGCGCATGACGCCGCAGACCACAGTGAAATCCATTGTAGAGCGAGTATTGGCTCGATGGCGCTCCCATGTGGGGGATGAGCACAGAATTGTCACCCAGGGTTTGTGCTTGCACCTCCCCCCTACTGTGGACGATGGGCAGTCCCTCCCAGCTGAGTGGAGCATCCATGACGTTGTACAGGCGTACCCTCGTTGTGTGGATGGGGGGGTTACGTGGCTGGTGTTTGATGGTGAAGATGATCGAGGCCCCCCAGAGGTGCCTGCTCCAAAACCCTCGTCACCGATCGACACTACTGAGAGCTGCATAAGAGGAATTATGGAGTCGACTTGTGATTCTGCCGTCATTGCAGCGGCACAGGCGGTAGAGAATATACCGGATTTTGGAGGGATTCCTGGTGTGGTTGGTTCGGTCGCTAGCGGCTCGACTGTGGCTGACTTCTCACCCAAGAGGAGGCAGCAGCGTCGGCCTGTGAAACGGGGAGCTCCTGATGATGGCGACTTCACAGCGGACTTGGTTGACGCGTCAAAGGAGTCAACACGGAGGGAGCAACAGAGTGGGAGGAAGAGAGCTCGGGTGGAGGTTGAGGAGGGTCGGCTAGGGCGGGATGAGGATGAAGTTGACTGCACTATGGCGACTGCGTTACGGATGTCACACACGACTCACATGGCCTTGTTGGCCTTCCAAGAGAAGCAACAGGTGAAGCGGTACCAGTGTTGAACTCCTTCTGAGCTTTCTCACTATATTATGGGAATTTGTACGACTTGGGGTAGGAGTGTACAAAATCGATATGAATTTCTCAAAATTTTAGCCGATTCTCTTCGTTGGTATCAACACGCGTAGTTGATACCGTGGACATTCATCATCACGACAGCTCTGAGGTGGAAAGGATTATGTGAGCTCTTCAGGAGATGCTCGAGCGACAGCAGACGCAGTTCGCCAAGATGTTGGAGCAACAACAGGATTGGATGAAGTCCTTACACGGGACCATGCTGGAGACCCTCCAACTCGCCCTGAGAGCAGCAGCAACACCCACGAATCACAAGGAATCGGCTGAGCCGAGGGGTGGATAATTTAGCCCTGCGTACACGACAGTAAAACAATCAGTAGCATGCTTTCTCCAGCGAAGAGTTGCGTTTTGAAAAGTGTCCTCTGTTGGGGCGATCTGACTTTTGGAGAGTTATAACTCGGCTTAACACGGAGAAGGTGTGTGAGTGGTTGCTAGAGACCCTACACCGAAGTGTGTTGAATCGTCTCCTAGCAGCTCTGATCCTCGAGGCTGGGGTAGTGAATGTGAAAGAGCTCGAGAGGAGATTCTGGTGCTGACTAGTATGAGAGGAAAACGTGGGGGTTGAGGTGTATCAGTAGAGTCACGAAATATTGTTTGTCAAATAGACGCTTTGAGATTAGCGCATATGGCGATTACGCGGTAGACAGGGTGCCGTAGAGATAGTTCTTACCATGCCAGACGAAAGGCAATCGTTACGGCGACGTATAGCGTACATCGTATACGATTACGGAGGGTTGGTGGAATTGGTATTCAATGCATAGCCATTATCAGTGATAATGGCCGTGATAATTTGTCACGGTCCACATTTCTCACCCCGTTAGTAATCGTCCCTTGTCCTGTGGCCCTTCCTGTGGCCTTCCGCACGACTCGCAATCAGTACGGGCTTATAGACCTGACAATGCCTCTGCCTCGGGTCTGTTGCGTCGACTTCCATTGATATCGTTTATGGTTTAAATTGGTGGTTCGGTCACGACACCTCCTGCTGCACTCACCCAAACTTCAGGGTTTTAGGAAATAGCTGACTTTCCCAACTGCATGTACTCCTCCCATTATCACATTGACAGTCGCAGGATGTCTTGGCATCTTGCAGTTCCCCCATTATTGTTATCATCATCAACTCTACCTCGACTAAGATACATGACCATGCGGGCTGCTATCTTGGCGTTGATTTTGAGTGTCGGCTTGGCCGTCCCCAGTACACCTCCTAACCATCATCATCATCATCACCACAGTCACTTCGCGGTAAAGCCCAGTCTCCTGTTTTTGGTGGGCTACTAGGAGGTTGTAGGTCCTAGTCGCAGGCTCCACAGGCTACTACAATTACCGTCATCAGGCTGATATCTGCCACGCTCATACGATATTGAGGAAACATGGAATACCCGAACGGAACATCATCCTCTTCTCGTAAGCAGTAGCAGCAGCAGTAGCAGCCGAGAGCTCACCTGAGCATCTTGACTCAGAACGGATGATGTTGCTAATTCGCCAGAGAACCCTCTCCCAGGAACACTCTTCAACCACCCCGGTGAGTCAACAAGCGCCGCTATAGGGAAGTTCAGTGACGAATGGTACGGGAATTTTCCATCAATTAGTGCGCCCTCGAACTAACGCAGTGTGAAAAAAGTTTTGTGCCAACTAGTGGCTTTGATACTTTCCAGAGTTCAAACGTAGACTTTCATTAACATCAAAATGCAGTTGATCGATTAGCAATGGCTCGAGAGCATTACAAAGTCTATGGTAGTACTTTCAAAATCATAGAAAATAAAATTGAAAAAAAAAGAAAAAATTTTTCGGAAAAGTGATCTCAAAGGCACTGACTTGAATGAGGATTTATTTGTAATTTTTTTTCTCTTTTAGATAGTCGAGGCAAGGGCCACAATGTCTACAAGGACTGTCTGGTGGACTATCGTGGGGATGACGTCACCGTGGATAATTTCGAAGCGGTAGGAGGCAAAATAAGCGAAAAATTTACAAGATCGGAGAATTTTACGCAGTTTCGAAGGGGTTGAGATTGACCATCTTAGGTCTTGACTGGGAACGCGTCGGGCGTTCCCAGGGGTCTCCCAGTTCTCAACAGTTCCGAGGAGGACTTTGTCTTCATAAACTTCGTGGACCACGGCGAAAGTGAGTTGGGTCTACAGACAGTTGTCTCTATCCTGACTCGAATACTCGGCGTAGTGAATGATACTACAGATGATGGTACCATCAGAGGGTTGCATAGTAGCACGGAATACATAGTGGGAGCATCGTCTCAAGTTTTGGCGATGATCTCTTGTGGATGCACTCATTGTGTGGTCAGGCGGGGCTGTCAGCTTCCCCAACGAGAACCTTAAGCGAGAGAAGTTCCACCGAATATTGAAGCATATGAAGGAACAGAAGATGTAGTGTCATGGGGAGGGAGGCTCGCTTTCATTCGCGAGGGCGCAGGTTCAAAAACATGGTCATCTACATTGAAGCTTGTGAGAGTGGAAGTATGTTCGATGACGATGATGATATTCCATCTGGAATGTAGTCCAGATTGCCGTGGAAAGTGTCAGAGAATTCCCATGTTAGTTTCATCGTAACAGCGGCCAACGCTACTGAGTCCAGCTGGGGGACCTACTGCCCTAGTGGGGTGGATCCTGATGTGGGTCTCGATTCATCGGTGAAGGAATAGGCACTTGATCGGCTACGCGTATTGATGACACAATTTTTGTACCCTCCTATGTGAGAGTTGTGAGCTGAGCTGATGGAAATTAGAAGGTCTTCCGATGGAGTGCATGGTCTCAGGCTGATATGGTTGATGGGCGGCATATAGGAACATGTCTGGGGGACCTGTTCTCGGTTAACTGGATGGAGGATTCAGAGCTTCCTCAAGTGGAAGGGGAAACTGTGGGAGATCAAGTCGATAAGATAACGAGATTGACAACACGGAGGTGGGCTGTAGCATGATGGGTGACTTCTTCTATGCGGAGCTCTCAGTCACGTCCAGAAGTATGGTGATCCGGAGGTGACCAAACGCCGCGTTACAGACTTCCAGGGCGCGACAGACGATCAAGGCTGGCTTGACCTTCCTGTGAAAGTCGATGTTGAAGATTCATTGGTGCTCTTGAATAAACCTACCCCCGAGTAGGAAGTGTGTGGGATGCGCTGGTCACAGTCCTTCGTTTTAGGGCTATTGCGACAGCGGCTGGTGTGTTGTCGGAGTTCCTGGGGCGACCTGTTGGTGTGTCTGCTCCCACAGCGACCTCGACAGAAGTGGGACTGGGTTGGCTTGGTTATCCTCTGGGGAGTGGGGGGGAATATGCACATGGTCAACTACATGTGTCGGTGACAATATGAGAATTCTGGGGAAATTTTGGGAAATTATTATCGGTTTCTCTGCACCTACTCCAATTCTTATTTAAACTCCCATAGTTATCTATAGAAAAGGTATATAGAAAGAATTTTATTGAAACTTCTATAGAAAATTTCTGAACTCAGCTGAGGAGAGTGAGTATATATTCCAGCACTACCCTCGGGTCACTCTGGTGAGCTCTTGCACTGAGTATTTATACGTTTTAGGACGACGACGACGCACAGCTTCTAGCCCGGCGAGAGCGGCTCGCCCGTCATAAAGCGACCAGCAGCGTGCCGGCCAGGATAATAGAAATCAACAACGCGTAGGGAGCGACGCTCGTGAGGAGGGATATGATATCAATGTGCAGGTTCGTGAAGGTGTATCGAGAGTCCCAACATACGGGAAATTACGTAGCTGAATTGAAGGCGGTGAACGACTTGATCGCGGCAGCACAAGCTCGGGTTGGTCGACTCCTCGTTGAGGCAGTGTATTGGTTCCTGTCTAGGCTGAGCAGTTGAGGAAGCGCATGGCACCTCTTAGAAGTGCTCAGAAGGAGGATGAGGTCGTCATTGAGTAGAGAGCAGAGGGCGCGGAGTTGAAGTTGAACTCTCCGTTTATGGAATACTTTTTGTGACATCCGTGATGAGGAGTATGCCCCAGGATCGCATGTATTATTTTAGTGATTGAAGTGTAGCGTTTCTCGTGCTAGGGAAATTTGCTGCTGTTTTTGATACCCCTACAACTGTTGTGTTCACCAGTGGGAATATCTGAGGTAGTTGTACCGAGCATTGATTGAAGAAATGCCCTGGCTGCTGAGGCCTTTGCGTTTCTCCTCGATTTCTACACTAGGACCACCAGGGCAAGCAGCACCCAGGCATATACCTGCTAGTGTGTGGAATAAGATCGGCAAGAACCTCCATCTCGATCAGCGGTACTTCCGATATTTGATAGTCGCTGGATGTGTCGCCACGAGTACCGATTGTCTCATGGGCTCGATGACACTGGCTCTGGGTCCTGATAGTCGTATGTGTCGTGTCAGACATCCCCTGGGAATCCTCAAGACAATGATAGATGACCATTTCCATTGCAAATTCCCTGAGGTGAGTGATGTCGAAATCGCCCCTGTTGGGTTCAGAGCGTTTTCCGGGCAGGCATTCATCTTCGAGTCGGCCTTTCCACCGGTGATTCGATCGGAGGTGGCTTTCGATGAGCTCCTCATTCCTCAAGTGAGACCGGCTTGGTGAACTCCTTTTTTACTCGTTGACTAGAGAGGAATCGTGTGACTAGTCTTCCTCACGGTGGTGAATTATTATACCTTCGTCACCCGCCACGAATTCAACTGGGATTTGACACTCGACGATCGACGAGAATGTTCCGAAATTTTCATTCGGTATTTGAAAATGCTGACGCCCTTCACAGGCTTTTCGACTTCATTTTGTATTAGGACCATCCCTCCCGATCAAGAAGTGATACGTTTTACATCAGTGGTGAGGTAGATGGTTTCACTTGAGTACCACAGATGGATGCAGATTCCGACACTCAGTGGCTGTTGAGGCCGCAAGCAACAGCTCATCAACCTGAAATGTTATGTCGAGTAGTGGCGAGTGGAAGTGAGAAACTTCATTCATTGAAGCTCATTGTGACAATATTTTCCACGGAGATTTTCTCTTTTTTCCGGAATGCTACTATCGGAAGATGTTCCTGTACGAGGTCCCACAGTAGGAGCGGTGTGGGCAGCTGATGTATATCGTAAGGATGAGATCGACCGATATCACTATCCGGTCTTCCACCAGGTAAGTAGATTGCAGGTCTAGCATTGTTAAAGTAGCTGCAGGTGGACGGCTTACGGCTCTTCTCAACTGCCGAGGCATCCGAGGCCATGGTGGTTCAAGACTTGCAAGAGACTCTTGAAGGTCCGCGGTGGGTGCAGTGGTTCGATTGGTTGGATTTCATGCTCATGTTCTACTGCTTGCTCACCTACTTAGGACTGATAGAGTCTTTGTTCGGTGTGGGCGTTGACATGCGGTGGGACTATACGGTCACGTTTCCCTTCACGGACCCTAGTCTCGA